GCGCTCCCCTCCCGGCTCCGGCCTAGGCTCTCGTTCACCTGAACACGCGCTGGTACTAGGCCGCACACGGACCTGGAGGGGTTGAGGATCCCAGAGGAACCACGTCCATGCAAACCGCGACCACTCAAGCGGTTTTCCTAGGGACCGGGGATAACAGCTTTATCTGGCGCGGGGTAGTACCGCGGAGGTAATGTATAATTCACCTCCCACTTTCCTTTCCAGCAGGAAGATCTTGGCTGTATGGAAATGGGAGACTCCTCCCTGGCTTGCTCTGAGGGCGAGCGAAACTTGGGGGCATCCAAACCCCAAGCCTCGGGGCTTGGGCCTGCACGTAGGCTGCCCGCCAAAGGATGTGGAAGCATCTGAAGCCCCAGGTGGCGGCGGGGAGGTGTTTGCCGGGAGAAGGGCCGCATTTGGTTCTTGAACGACTCACGGATTTGGAATTGATTTGTCTGGGAACATGAAAAAATTTCCTTAAAAAAATAAAATTATCTATCCACACACCCCCTACATACATATATATACACATATACACCTATATATATAGCTGTATCTATACACATACACACACACACCTATCTATCTATACACATCTATCTATATAAATGATGTCTATGTATCTGATCAAACAACCAGTAATCCCTTCCTCCCCCCATGAACTGCATGGCTGCCAGATGAGCTTGTTGAAACAGACTTGGGGCACTTGTTCTACGTGCCCCCAAACTCCTTAGGCAGCGACTCTGGTGCTCTGTCTAAATATCAACTCTCTTTGACTCTGCCCTCCCAAAACTTTCTCTGCCGTTCTAGTCTGCCAGGGTGTTCTTCACCTCTTGTATGGCCATGGTGTGTTCCTCTGCTTTTCAAGCAGTATTCCCCGCAGTGCCGCAGGAAATACTCTATACCTATATTATTTGAGGTATTGCATGACTTTGTGGCGTTTGTGGTCACGCACTCTGTATTAATAGACGGTTAATAAATAGTTGATGGATCAGGAGCAGGTTATAGGCAACCTACCAACTCATTCTAGCAATCATTTATAGCAAGTAATTGGCCATTTTTCACCATGAGGATTATTCCTTTATTAAACCTTTCCAATTTGTGTATAAATATTAAAGTATAATGTGAGAATGAATGTTTCACCCAAGTAAGAATGCTTTAAGAGTCCAGTTGCTTCCCCATTCACTCACAGATTACCAACCTGGAGCTCTCAGTGTGAGGTAATGACACATTCTCATTCCCAGAGATCTCAGAGTACTTTACAAAGGAGTTTGGTCTCATCATCCTCATTTTGTACAAAGGAAAACTGAGGCACAGGCAGGGGAAGAAGACTACAGGTTACCCAGAAGGTCAGTCAGTGGCAGAGCCAGAACTAGAACTCAGGTTTGAAATCCTAGGCCAGTGCTGCAGCTACAGAACCACACTGTGCCCCCTTTATAGGGTTGACACGTGCAGAAAAATAGTGTTGTTATCAATTTGGGGAAAAGTCTGTTCTTTCAGGCAACAAGAATTAGGAAGAGCAAAGTTAGGAAAAGCCATTGTCAGAAAGTGGGCAGGGAGCACAACTGATCAAGACGTTTTGGCTGGACAAGTCCTAGGGCTGAATCTTGTCTGCACAGCAGGCCGACTAGCTTTTAAGGAAAAGTATGGAGATTAATGTGCTTTGGTCAGTGTTGACAGTCATGTACCAAGGCAGCTTTTCTACTCTTTGCACTTGTTCCAGGCTCCAGTTGCTCTAGGCTTATAGTCCTGGGCCTGTGCCTCTGAGCTTCTGCCCTTTCTGGGGCTAAGACCTAGGGCCTTGGGTTTGGCAGCTGTCCTGCCCAACCCCTTGTGCCATGGCTCTGAGATCCCACCAGGGTCCCTACTCTAGTAGTGCTGTGCCTGTGCTTCTGACCTCTTCTGAAGGAAGGATATCATGCAGGACACTGGGGCCACCTTGTCATGCGGCTTCCACATCTCCCCTTACAGCCACCCCTGGTCCACTGAATGTTTTTCTTTTTAATCTCAGGTTCCTCCCTGCCTCGTGGATACAGTCTTAACTCAGGGTTTTGTTTCATGGACCCAATGTTC